GTTACCATGGACAATCGTCTGTCCTTTTCCTCTCATATCGCCAACGTTTCCCGCTCTTGTCGGTTTCTCCTGTTCAATATCAGAAGGATACGTCCATTTCTTTCCACACAGGCTACCCAGATACTCGTTCAGTCCCTCGTCATCTCCTGCCTTGACTACTGCAACTCGCTCCTAGCGGGTTTACCACTGGATACATACCTCTCGTTTGTATAGTTCTTATGTTCTTATGTTCTTATTTTGAGATAAATGTAAGAGTAGAGAGCAGTTTGTAATTTGCTAGGTCACTAGATTCAAGGTTACATAAAGTCACTGCATAAAGTGCAGGAAGTGAACAACCAACAGCTTGAGCAAAAAGATTAGCAAACCTTAGTAGGACCTTATGAATGTTAGGAGAGAATGATTAGAGACTACTGACATGCTTGATGTCACCCCCGGCTCGTCCGATCCTCGTGTGTGCCACGCCCCCCTCGTTACCTCGTGTTAATTCCCGATTGTGATCACCTGTTGCCTGTTATTTCGGCTTGTTTCATGTATATTAGTCCACGTCTTCCTTAGTTGGTTGTCCGTCATTGATGTTAGTTCGTCGCCGTCTGCCCCATGTTTCCCTGAATAAACCCGTTGCCTGTGGATTCTCGCCTTCCTGCCTCGTCTTTCCCCCCGATCATAACAGAATGACGGACCTCTCCAAAAACGCACCGCGGCAAATAGAGGACCAACGCCTCGGTCTGCTGCAGGAGGTGCTATACTGGCTAAATCAGCCCGGGATTTAGCCAGCCGGAGTGGGAACCTCCTGAGTGAGGTAAACCCGCCCGGAAACACTTACCCTTTGCGGGAAGTACGTGAAAATCTTCGGCGGCTGATGGAGAGGGTAACGGAGGTGAGACCCAGCTGGTCGCGTCGTCCGTCATCTCCGACACAACCCAGTCCCCGCCGACAACAACAAACCGGAGGAAAAAGATGAGAAAGCCAAAGGAGAAGCCAGAGGAAGCCCCAACCAGTCTTCCTGGGAGCCGCTTCTCTCTCTCCAGCTTCGCTCCTTGTTTGTGATCAGGGGGAATCCCTGATTGCCGTGGACATCCCCGCTGCGATGCCCCCGCAAGTATTCAAAGCCCCCGGCGCCGTAGTAGAGCAGCCGCCGCTAGCGGCGTATCATTACCGGGTGGCACGCCTGTTTAATAGGGGGGCCAGGGTCGTTTGGGACGCCATTCCCCGGATCCCCAAGGCCCTTAAAGGGGCAGTGCCTGCTCGCCCAGCACCCACCCTGGTGCCCGTTCCTGATCTGCCCGTCATTCCTGATCTGCCCGTGCCGGCTACGCCCGCGGCCTCGCCTGCTGAAGCCGCTCTGCCCGCAGCCTCGCCTGCTGATGCCACTCTGCCGCGGCACCGCCGGATGCCGCCGCTACGCCCGTCTCATCTGTCCTGTCCGTCTTGGCAGCGCCCCCTGCTGGCCACACGCCCAAGGTGCCTGCTGAGGCGCCCCCTGCTGGCCTCACGCCCAAGGTACCTGCTGAGGCACCCCCTGCTGGCCACACGCCTGAGGTGCCTGCTGACGCCGCTACGCCCGTGGCCCTGCCTGAGGCAGGCAGTCACGATCAGTCATTTTCAGTATGGATATTAAAATCTCCAACAATCACATGTTCATTTGTACTAACAATCAGGTTCGTCAGGGGTCTGCAAACCTCTGTATTAATTATTGACATCCTATATTGACCAGGATGTCTGTGAACGATAAAAGTAAATGATGAAGAATTGCAGGTAGTTGAGCCAGAAACATGAAGAACCAAGATTTCATATGTGTTAAATCTGTAATACAATTTCTCTGAGATTCATAGATTCAACTCATACGGCAGCAAGACCGCTTCCTTGGCAATTAGGGCTATGTTTAATAGTATACTCAGAGGAGGCAGACCCATTTCCTTGATTACAGGGCTCGATGTCACTCTGCTTTTGTCCCGGGTATCTTCCATGGGAACCGTTTACTTGTAACTTACTCTGGCACTGTGATAGTTGTGAGCATGGAGTTCTCTTCAGTATTCCAGTGTAGTTTTCACCAACTATCACAACCATCTTGTTAGATTTACAACTGTTCAGGGTTACATTATAAAGACCTAAAATAAGACAGAAGTTCAGTACAAATATTATTTGAATTGATTGTACAGTAGTTACCATGTTAAGCCTTGAAAATCTGTTATGTGTTATTATTCTATGGGAATAGTTATTAATTTATGAGTTTCACTTTGAATAAAGTGTACTGCTCACTTACAGTATGGCCAGGTGTCAGTCGGGTACTTGTTATACACACACTTCTCATCAGCTATGGAACAGAAAAAAGACAGGAATTATTTATCACAAATGTAGCAAATTTTCCATGAATTTATCTTCGTATCCTTCATATCCTTAGCCCGACATCCACATGTATGTATTGTTTTAATAAGGTTACATGTGTTTAAAGCGTGCAACAAAAAAAAGCTCTTCCAAAGTTTGTACAAAGATTGTAAAGCTACTGTAGCTGACGCTAATGACGCTGTTTATATTTTCTGTTTACTTATTCTCTCTAGAGTGAGAAATTATCGTTTACGACTACTCTGACACACTGTAGCCTAAATCGTTCACTCACTGAAGTAAGCTTAACTAAAAGCTACCTTTGCTAGTGTTTGTTAAAAACATGTTTCTCTAGTTGTGAAATCATTCCATGTTTTAGCATCTATTTCAACATTAAAGTCAAATAGGTGTACTGAAATAATTAAGTAAAAACTATTGCAGTGATTATTAACTTCAGTCTAACATAGAAATCCTATTGAATCTCTTATGATTTGCCTTTTTTTGTTAACAATGCTCTAATGTTTAAGAAATGTTTAAATAAATTTGAAATGGTAATAAGAATTTCAGATTCGTGAGTGGGGGGGAGGGAGTGAATTGTGTTAAATGACTAACTTGAAAATAATTGTTTATCAATAAATTTATCATCAGATCAATCGAAAAATTAGTTGTTTGATTAGTCGAATAATCAAAAAAATAAACGCTAGATTAGTCGTTTAAAGAATAATAGTTTGGGACAGCACTACTAATATCCATGGCATACCATCCTAGATCACGGCGGGCTTCTGAATATTAAGCCTGGGTTTCTAAAAATTAAGCCTAGTAAAAATGTTAATATTTAATGAGCAAAATGACTATATTTGTTCTTTTATCTGAAGTTGTGGTCTAAAAGCAATGAAAATTCACTCCTATAGCCATTAGGGGAGCTATCATCTTCTCGCAGGCCTTATAAATACTTAATTTTATGCAGTCTAGCAACCAGTTCACTTGTTTTAATTAGATGTGAGAAACCTTAGTGAGATTAACTCAACTACACAGCAAATGTGCCAGTGTTAAATTAACACTACATGGTGTCTATATGTGTCCACACCATTCAGTGTTACCTTTAACACTTTTCAGTGTGCCGTGGGTGTTGTTTTTAGTGTTAATGATTTTTATAGTGTTCAATTTACAACCTAGAGTGTTGTCAAAGAGTCTCCACCTCCACATATCAGCCCCATTTTAATATGCACACAAGACGTCATGAGGATCAGAAGACCCATACCAGATTTACCCACCATCATGAGAAAGATTCTGACCAAACAGGACCTTACAGCTTTTTCTTATTTTGTGTTAAAGTTTTGTTCGCTTGGTTCTGACTACTCTTGAAGATTAGAGAGCTGTGGTTTCATGGTATGTTGTTATTGTGTCAGAGGAAAAAGCTATTGGAAATGTACAGGACGTGTCTCCAGTTTGGTGTATATATTAATTGTGTGGGAGTAGGTTTGAGTGCCAGTCCTGCCTTTAACATATGCAGAAAGGTGTTAGGACAGTTGTGATACCCTTTTCTGTGCAGCTCCTGGTGCCACCCTCTCCCCTGCAGACCAATTGTGCTGGATGTATATTTGCATAGCATGACACAGTACTGTTTTTGACTTAATTTTTTTTTAAATCCACCGCGATTGTGAGGAATAAGGCAAGAGAACAAAAACCACAGAAATGGCTCTTGTGTTCCAGCCAATGACCAGGTGGGGTGGTTTAGCCTCTACGGCTTAAGTAGAAAAGGCATTGCCTGGGAGGAAAACACAACGGAAACCAGCCTCGATCGTGGTGGGTTTCTAAAAAATATGCTTAATGAAAATCTTAATATTAAATGAGCAAAGTGATTTGATTTGTTCTATCGCAAGTTGTGGTCTAAAAGCAATGAGGCCACCACCCATTATATCTGCTTTAGCGGAAATACACTCCTTCAGTCATTAAGATAGCTCTCATCCTTTTTCAGCCATGCTAAACAATTATGTGATGCTACAATCTAGCTTCATAATCTGTGTTTGGTGATTGGTGCCATACCTTTCACACACTTTTATACCATAGGAGGTTCTCAACACAGTTCTTTGATTATCAAAAGCTGAACTGAAATAAAACTTTGCATAAAAAGAGAAAAGGCCAAAAAAGTCTTTCTTATTATGGTGGGTTAGTAAAACACAGCAGCTGAATGCCCAAATATGTTCACATGAGAGTACATTAAAATAGGGCAGATATGGGCCACCCATTTTGTACTTGTGTGCCACCCATATGGGCTTGCAATTTTGGAAGAGGTGGAGACATGTTGTCCTAACACTCTAGGTTGTAAATTGAACACTATAAGAATTAATAAATATGAACACTGTAAAAACAACACTCACTGCACACTGAAAAGTGTTAAAGGTAACACTGAATGGTGTGGTCACATATAGACACCATGCAGTGTATGCTCAGAACACAAAGTGAATGTATTTACTTAAAAAGAATGTCTAATTTTCAAAATACTCATTCTAGTTGTGTGAAACCAATGTACATGATTCAATTTAGTTTATTCAAAGTAACTTTTTTTCAGTGCATTGAGAGAAGGACAAAATGAAGATTGCGATGTGACTGATGTCAACGGTTAGCCTCTTAATAGGGTGGTTACCCCAATAGCATAGGATGAATATCTATTCCAAAGACACACTGTGTATGTGGCGGGTTTGCATTATGATAATAAATGATAATAAATATCAAGCAAAGGCTAGCAGAGGGCAATGTTCCATACTTACCATTGTTACTGCATCTGCACAATATCATGAAAGCTATCATGGCCGGGCACAACAGCCTTTTCCACCCCATGATGGATTTTGTCTTTTGGATCTGCGTGATTGTGAATCATTATAATTATTCACCCATTTGCAAGCTCTACAGTCTGATACACATAAACCACTCTAGGGTAACACTTTGCTTGACGGGATACAAATACTTAGTAGTTAGTCAGTTATTACCCGGGGCGTAGTTAGAGATGAATGGATTGGGGGGCTGAGTCTTTACTAGGGGGGCTGATGGCAAACTATTTATGACTTAAACCAATACATACACATTTATTTGTGGGGGGGCTGAAACCCCCCTAAAATTGGCCTAACGACACCCCTGGTTACTACTGAAGTACAAATCTTGAACAAATATAGTAGCTGCTTCAGATAAAAGCTTCATGATTCATTAATGATGAACAAACATGAGATCAGTATTTCAATTGTGTTATTCATTACTTGGTCATCCAGCAGTTCCTTCAGTAGTTCACAAAGATTAACAGAATCAACAGGTATAGTAACAAATATAGTAACTGCTTGAGATAAAAGATGTGTCATGATTCATTAATAATGAACAAACATGAGATGAGAATGTAACTAACACTTAGTTTGTGGTTAATTAATACATAAGTATTATTATAGTAATACATTATTTGTGCCCTGTCAAGTAATGATATACTATGTTGGAGCGTCATATGGAGCATAGCTGCTTACTTTCAGAGTAATACAGTAAAAGTTCTCATATCCTGCCATGTCAGGACAGAGGCACTGTCCGATAGTTACTATTGAAAAAGACACACATTTCTTACACTTATTTAATCCTTTTATATACACACAAATGAATTGTAGTGCAATTTTAACACACTTCAAGGTAAACAATGGCAGATCAAGCAGAAAGAATACAGAAGTGTGCTGCTTCATAGGTATGTACAAGAACTGAAATGTACTGTGCTTTTTATTATTTGCTATATTTAGTTAAATTAGTGTACATTTTTAATATAATAGTACTACTACTTATTATTATGAATTTAAAATCTTTATACATGATTGCCAGCCATGGGAGCTGTTTCTGTAGCCTAGCACCATAATCATTTTACTTACTGACAGCTACAGAGCTTGTGAATCCTGCTGGGCATCATTAACAGCACTTTGCAATAGCTTTCCTATAAAACCAACTGAGTAAAGATAATTTATTATTCAACGCAATAATAATAATAGCTTTCACATTTATATGAATTGCTTTTCTATCTGCTAGTGTCCATCAACAAAGAAAAAAATCTTAGAGTCTTACCTGATTAACAGGAACGTACAAATGCAGAAAGAGTCATTTGCAGCATCCTCTGCCATCCAGTAAATTTCCATTTCTATGCTTTATCAAAACATGGACATTTGCCTTGCAAACATGAAGCCTGGTCAGAAACAGAACAAGCTCTGTGTCACCATAAAGGAAAATTATGGGCAGTCAAAGAGACAGAAACCTGAAGGTCAGCGGTCTTGTTGTTGCTTTTCATAAGGGGAAACATTTCTTTGAATTTAATAACATATAATTAAATACGTTCCCTTTCATCTTTCTTCGTTTTGAGTCTTTATGAACCGCTGAATCTTTATGATTATACATTACCTGAGATAAATCTCCACAGTGTGAACAATGTTATATTTCAGTATTGTGTTCCTCAAACACAGTGGTTTTGTTTGCTTTTGTGAGCACATGTGCACTTTAAGTTAAAATTCCTTCATTTGGATATTATATGCATGTATTGGGGTTCACTGTCAAAGTCTTTCCAGGCCTTGCCATGGTTCACACAATACGGCCCAAGCTGAATTAGGCACTAGAACAAATCCGTCAGCCATATGGAGGTCAGCCATATTGCATTGAGGAGGCCCACAGGTCTGGATGAGGGGGCTGGACCCTCTGACTTCTTTGTGATACTGACCCTGCTTAGACTTTTCTAATGTTCAGAGGTGGATAATTCAGGTTCAGAAAGTAAAAATCGACTTTGTTTCAATCAGCTAGTTCAGTATAAAGAGTCACAGAGTACTCAACTCTGTTTACTGTCCACCTCTGCTACTGTACATCATTGGAATCTGTACATCATTGTCAGAAGAGGGTAGTATGGGGAAAGAGGGCAAGCAAACTCATCTCAGTGCTCGCGTTCATGATCATTTGCACTGCATGCTGGGAGTTCAAGCACCTGGTATTCAGGTACCTCTCCTATAGGCAGAGCACCCTGTTGTATATACTGTAGCTAATCTCAAAAATTGCTTTATTTTTCCTTTTCTAATTTTCTTCTAGAGCTAAGATTGAATAGTACAGTAACAATAATAATATTTTATATTTTATGTTTTCTTTTATAGTTTATGATTACAATTGTGTTTATATTTACTAAAATAAAATTAAGTATGACTGTCGCAGGCATATTTTGTTTAATTGGTTATTGGTGACCATAAAATCCTGCTTCATTTTGCTTAAAGAATAAGTAACAACAGAGTAAGTGCTGGAAAGTGTAATAATAGTATGAAGTGACATGAGCCTTCAGCAAACAACATAGACTTTGTGAACTTGTTTTATATATATCTTGGTTCATTCAGATAATGTTTAGATTTTGAAAGTAGTATGTTCATGTGCAAATGTAAATCTTTAATGAAGGAAAAGCAAAAAAAAAAGGCTATAATACTGATTTTCAGTATTTTTGAATATATAATGATTTATTTAAATGGGTTAGAGTTGAAAGGTGCGTCTTTATTTATTTAGTTTAAAAGGTAAACATACAATGAAACATACAATGAAAAGAGGAACTGCCAACACCTACCCCAGGAAATGCAACCTAAATAAGCAACAGAGTCAATTAAGGTCAACAGTTTGCATGAACGGTCAAGTGAGATGTTGTTCGACTGTGTCCAGTATAGGTTATTTTTGGTCCTAACAATTAGGACACACAAACTAAAATTAATGTTAAGATTAATATTACTTTATTTATCCCAGAGGAAAATTCTGATGCATACAGCAGCAAGAACATGTGCTCAGACAAATACACAAATAGTGCCAAACAGACTAGACAGTATAAATAAAATAGCACAAACAATTAAAAACTGATTTAACACTGATTTTATACACAGTACACAAATAAATGACATAATCCACAAAAAAAGAATGCAGTGCTAAACTAAATATTTAAAGATATCAAAACCAATTTCCAAAGACATCTGGTTGTTGGTCATCAACCAGCTAGCTAGGAATTTTGCTAGCTAATTGATGTTAATGATGTTTACGTCAAGTTTATTTTGTGGTGTCGTAACTTAGCATCATCCATGGAAGAGACTTTGCTCATCAGACCTATCTTATTGCAGGTTACTGGTTGCAGCAATAATTTGTCAAATTCTTCCAAAATCAGCTGCCTGTGAGCACAACTGGTTTCTCTTTGGCAATACACACTTTAAAGTCTGCAACAGACACACAAATGTACCAATGGAGAAATTTCAGACTGAATCGTACCCATCCAACACATCAACTGAAGTGGACAGTGACTCAGAGGATGCGGATTCCAATGCTGTTTCGACCAAATTTCTCACAACATGATAGGTGCATTTTATTTGATATCCTGACATTTCTATTTATGTACCATATAATGTCTCGTGTGGCCTATCCTGAATTATTCCCTGTTGTGCGCCTGTAGCTTCCAAGATAGGTTCCAGATATCCCTGAATGGGCCAAACAGGTACAGAAAATGGATGGATGGAAAATGTCTCATGTATTTTAAATCCTTGTGAAGTTCTGCAACTCTCTTACTTAAAATCAAAGCGACAGGTATTTTAGGAACTGTAGCGACCTGGATTGATAACTGGTTAAC